TATTTTGATATTTTTTACTGATTATTATCCGAGATGTAACAAATTTTACGACTATCTTAAATATATCAGCTTATTTTTACTTCTAATCTTATAGCAGCTACCAAACTATCGGCTAGCTATCGATTAGATGATTGCTTGATGATATTTGGTTTATATTTTTGATTTGACCAGTGAATACAAGTATATATTTAGATAAATAGAATTTCTAAAAGAGATCTAATTATAAAAGTAGATACTATATATAACTATAGTATTACAGATAGCTTAGATCAAGTGGTGTATATATATAAATTCTCAAAAGATAAAGACAACACCAATATTCTGAAACCTCTTATAAGGCATCACTAATATTCTTGTATTCAACCTGTAGAGTACTTGCTTGAAAAAGTAATTAATAAATTATATAAATAAAGCCTAAAAGATAAAAGTACAAGATTTAATTAGAAGAATAATTTACTAAAACCAAAACTAGAGTAGTAAGTTAAGCAAAAAATATAAGAATGGTCTGTAGTAAAGAATTGGTTTTAACAAATTTAAAAACATCTCTGATACAGTACAAAGTTCTTACTTTGTATATAGAGAAGATAGTGTATATATAAAAAATATATAAAAACTCAAAATAGTATTTAAAAAAGTATTGGGCTAGTTGTATAACAATATATACAAAAGTATAAATAGCAATACAAAAGTATATTAATATTAAATACTAACCAATTTAGATAAAAGCTAGAAGTAATTTTAAAAGATTACAAACCTTGTTAAAATCAATATATATTACAAAATACAATTTATATTTTACTAATATATAAAAGTTTATATTAATATATAGTGCATAGCACAAAACTATTATTGAACATATAAGTACTAAATTGTATCATTTCTAAAAAATAGTAAATTGAAAGCTATAAGGTAGATAATAATTAACAAAGTTAACAGAAATTTAATTCATAGAAGTATATAGTACTACTAGCTAATACTATATAGAAACTAAACTGTAGAATTACAAATCTTTCTAGAATTTATTTACTTATAAAACCAAGAAGTTACTTACAAAACTTAAAAAAAAAGTAATAAAAATTAAATAATTTTTTAAGAGATAAGAAAGTTTGGTTAAAATTAGATTATATGCATATATTTCTCTAAGCTATCTTGTTTTATTAACTTAAATTATGTAATAATTTATCTATTAATAGTTAAATACATATTTTATTTAATTATAAAATAATACAAGTATGATCTGATATAGCAAACTATTTTTATAACTCTAGATTCTGAACTTACTTGAAATTTGTTTTTATAAGCTGTAAATGATAGTTAAAAGTTTTGTTAAAACTCTATTCTACAATAAAATACTATTAATCTAATAATATTCTTTTATAAAAAAAATAAAAAAAAGAAAAAAAAAGAAAAAAGGATAGTATAAAGAAGGTTATAAAAACAAAATATATAAAAAACAAGCAATTTTAATAAGAAGTCTAAAAATATACTATAAATCTAAAAGAGATTATTATATAAAAAGCTATTATTTTAAACTACAAACTAACAGAACCCTAATTAAAACAAACTAAAAGTTGCACTATAGCCTGTACTAGAGTTTAAAAATTATATATATACATCTTCAGAAATTTTGTATATTTTATTAACCTAATTGGTTTATAGTCTTTTTTTGATTAAATTTATATTTATCAATCAAAAATATTATATCATATAAAGCTTTATGTGGCTTTAGTTTATCAATTATCTATTAACTTTGAATTTCTTACAGAACTAGTCATGTATATCTACTGGTACCTGTTTTATTATTATTCTTGTGATTTTTATAGTTGGTCTATCAGTTTTTTCAATATATTTATCTTGAATTCTATTAATAATTGTATATATTGTTATATTTCTTGTTTACCATATTACTATATAAGCTTACTAAATATAGAAATAATAAATATATCAATCTTTTGGAAGAGTAAACCAAAATTTTTACTTTTTATAAAAACAAAACAATAAAAAAAAGAATCAATACAAAGAATATATTAATATAAATATTTTAACTCAAAAGGTGTTTTTCGGTTGTTTTTTTTTATTTTCTACTTTTAAAGTCTTGCCTAGAAACTATTTTATCTAGTTTTTCCTGTTCTGATAAAATTTGCTGATAGCTATTTCGTCTACAGCCACTTCACCAACAACCTCTAGCCAACACTAACTATAAAGCAGGCTAATCTTAACTAAATCTGGTCAAATTTGTTAATAAAATGGCTGTTAGTAAAATGGTTGTCAAAAAATTGGTTTATACTAGTTTTTTCTTGTTTTTAAAATTCTTTTTGGTTGGTGTGCCAAATATATAAGAGAGTTTATCAGAAGCAAGTTTGACCCAACACACAAACCTTTCAAGTACTTCTATATTTTAGTTATCTTTAGAGTTCATTGACAACAAGTTTACTTAATATAAAACCAAAACAGCTTTCTGTTTTAGAACTGGAGTCTTCAATCTGCTTTTAGTACTACTTGGTTCAAGTGATTATTGGAAAGAGTTATTTATATTTCTTCTGTATATGTATATATATATTATATAAATTAAATATAATAAAATATATAATATAAAAAGAAGAAAAATTATGTTCTAATAAAAAAAAACAGCTAATTAATAATAACCCATATCTGAAAATTTAAATATAACTTATATTTAAATTTTTGAGATTTTTTTATTAATACCCATAGATAAAAACTTTTGAAATATCTAGTATAAATAATTATAAATTAATTTTTTAAAATATAAATTTTTGAATATAATTTTATTAAAGTCATTATAATTAAATTCTATTTTACTAAGACCAGACCAGTTTAATTCTTTATTTAACATAATCTTCTCTGTATTTTTCAAAATTTTATAAAAAAATACACATCATATAAACCAATCAAATTGTAGTATTAGCTTTTATATATTTCATATTTTTTACAGCCAATAGAATTGCCATATTTTTTTTAATTTGTATATTTTTTATACCTTTCCCCCACTTCTATAAACTATTTAATGTTATGTTAAATGAAGAATCAATTTGGAGTGGCCTTATGCAGTATTAAGATTATGTATTAAATTTAGCCAACCGCCATTTATGAAAAGTCAGCTATTGTATTTTAAACCAAGTTTCACTAAACATTGAACTTACTTTGGATCCAATTTCTGGATATTGAATCTGAATTAGGATTAATTGAACCAGAGTCGGACATTTTGCAATTCAATAAAGCCTCCACTTCGCTCATTTCAGCTTCGGCCAATTAAAAATCAATTATTATATTTTAAGATTCAAAGTATCCAAACGTTGGACTTAATTTAGATTTAATTCTGATTATTTGGGTAAAGTGAAGCGGAAGATAGACATTTCTAAAATTCAATATAATAAGGCTTAAACGCTTTTACTTCGCTTCTCTCAGCTCCTACCAATAAGCTTTAAATAAGCTACTTAAGCATATTGACATTTACTTTATCTCTTGTTCAGGTTCAATTTATTTGCGTTGATTTAGTAGGAAAGCATAACAGCCAAATATTTTTAGTGATCTATGACCTCTATAATTTTAATTATATTATCGAGTAATCAAAATCAAATTGGTAAATAACAACGTAACAATATTCTATTTCATGATAGTATGCACGAATGATTCCTTCGTTTTCCTCTAGATTGATTCAATTCTATGTCAGATCAACAAATCTTATGATATACGAATCGTTCAAAATCTACGTTCCTGGTTTTAGTGCGACAGTGTCGCGCAGCTACGTACCTTATATTACGTATATGCAAACAAAAAATCGGTGCCAGGTTTTGTCGATCATTGTGGCGCAGATCCCAAATCCACAAATCAGATTTCAAGAAGCAAGTGTAACGTAACACGATCAGGAAATTACAAAAGTTCGTTTTGTTAAAATCGCTTATTTCTCAAAACTCCGGATAAAAAATCATCTTTAGTGCTTTAACAAAGTTTCCTTGAGCGATTTTACTATATAATGGCCTAATCTCTAACCTTATCCTAAACGCCAACCCTAACATTAATGTACTTTAAAAATTTTGCTGCGTTGCAATGATCGATAAAACCTGGCACAGATTTTTTGTTTGCTATTGCATACCCAGGAAAATCTCTTAAATTTTCCAAATCGGCCAATATTGTTTAAATCAATATGTTTAAAAAAAATATAAATTTTGCATATAAAACTTAGTTTATTTGACTAATAATAAAGCAAATCTAACCTACTGTTATGGCTATAAGCAGATCTATAATGTTACAATAACCAGATGCGATATAACCAAGATAAGAAAGTAACATATATAAGAAAAAATTTTAAATAGAAATTATGTAATAAAGGTTACTATTCTGATAAAATATATCTATCAATATTGATAGTAAAATTAAACAGTACATTATATTAATTAATTTTTGAAAGAATTTCTATAATTTACAATCAACAGCCGGCAATAGTAAATGTATTTGAGATATAATCTTCTGTTCCCAGATCAACAGTACGATTTACTAGGAAAACAAAATCATAATCTCTACGACTTTCAATACTCTGAGGAAGCGTAAGAGATTTCTTGCCTGCAGAAACTGGCACATTTGAGGCAAGCGACTTAACCAAATAAGGAGGTTTAACTGTTGTAAGAAGAATATCAAGAGCAAGTTCTTGATATTTTTTGTATGCTGTATTTCAGAATTGAAAAGGCTTAAAAAATTAATAAGGATTCACAATAGAATATCAATATTAGAACTATTAAATATAAATTACTTACGATCTTCCCATTCAACACTAAGTTCACCACCACACTAAATTATTAAAAAAAATTAATATCCTATTAAATATATATCGATAGATGTATTATTAAATTTTAATAAAGAAAACATCATACCACAGCATTATAACCACTTTCCGGTTGAGTAACAACTAATCCGAAATCCGGCTTATTAATAAAGAAAGATCCAGATATTGGAGACGTATTATTATATGCAATTAGAACAATGTATCTAGCATCAGGTTGAACATTTTGTGGAATAGTATAAGTTAATGTATGACAATTTTTTGCTATTAAGAAGTTAAGAGATTTTTTTTATAAAAATACTATCTTTAGAAATTAATGCAAATATTGCTGAATTAAAAAAATATATATTTCTCACGTTCTAATTCAATATTATTCTGAAATTCGTAATTGAAGCTAGAGGAAGGATTTAAATTCCCATCTAACCAAGTAGGATTTACAGAATCAATATATTCAATGGGATCATCAGAACAAAAGCAAATTTCGATCTTGTCTCCAGAGCAAAACTTGCTTCCAACGGCTATTGAATATAGCATTTAATGTATTAGTCTCAAGTTTCTAAAAATTATATAGTGCAAATACCACTTAAATCTTTGGAAATTTTTGTTATTTTTTTCTTATTATATTTCCTCGATGAATAAGAGTAAATACATTAAAAAATACGATGCATTATTTTATTCCCTTTTTACGAAATTCTGAATATTCATCGAGAATATACAATTTTGGATGCTTTGCACATTAGAGGCTCATTTATCAAAAAATAGATTTAATACCAGGACTAGTTATTGTTAAACCAGGAATAGGTTAAGTATAACTGTTAACTGTTCGTCTTTCTATAAAATGTTGAGCATTGATAATGTTAGAAAAGAGGATAATGGTGGTAAATAGAAGGCAAGTGAGGCGAAAGTTAAACATATTGTTTGAAAAAGAATATTAATAATTTAGGTAGATATAATTCTTTGGTACTCTTTGGTTATGTAGTAAACATTCAATTCCTGAAACTCGAGCTTTATATACAGTCAGACCCCCCTAAATATACATGTGTGCCTAAATTATTTTCGAAAAAAAGTATTTTCGCCAAACATTTCGGCATTGCAAATTTTTATATTAAAGCCTCCGAAATAACTATACTATATGATGCATTTTGATGAAAAGAGTTCAAAAAATTTCGGCAATAATTTCGGCAAATATGAAATTAATTTCAGCACTATATAAGCCTAATTTCGGCTGCCTAAATGCCATAATTACTTTTTTATTAAGATGGACAATTTAGGCACACATGTATACCCCTAAATGCACCCTCACTAAATGCAGCACCCCTCTAAATGCATAATATAAACCCGGTCCACGGTGGGACTTATAGTTAAATGCACGTTCTTTATTCCGTAAGTGCACGCTAATTGTCCGGCCAACTCTCCCATAAATGCATCCACATGATTACTAACCAATCAAATTCATTATTTTTAGGCTACTAAAGCCATACTTATCATTTTATTGGTGTTCTTTAATTGCAACCCTCCCTAAATGCACGCCCCATGGCTGGTTCCGACGACGTGCATTTAGGGAGGTCTTACTATATAATAAAAAAATGAGCATGTAATTATTTATTATCGTATATTGTAAGTTCAAAAATAAAAACACTCATATATAACTACAGCTAAGTTTCTCTAAATGCAACGTTACTCTAAATACAAATTTTTTAGTACGCTCCTATAATTACGATTTTCTTCATTATTTTTGAATGCATCTAAAAGGTCTAACTATAAACACCTAAATTATTGTAATGCACTGTCTTTGGCATTCCCTTAGGGGAGTGCCGTTTATTACGTAATTTCTTTTTATTAGAAAGTCAGACCCCTCCTCCCCCAGTGATAGAATTTTAGCCAATCAAAATTTCATATACATCTTATAGATGTAATATAACTGCTAATCTCTCCCCTCTAAAATTACGTAATAAACGGCACTCCCCATATTTAATACCCATTAAATAATTTCCGGCCACATTACAAAAAAAAATCGTATAAGATCTAGGTTGCAAAATATTTCAATCATAATCAAACTTTAATTACAGAGAAACCCTTCTAAATAAACCTTCCATAAATGTACAGCAAGACCTCTCTAAATGTGATGTGGCGGGACCATATGTAAGAATTTAGTCAAATGTGCATTTAGTGAGGTAAAAATCTGTATTATTAGTTAAGCCCGAGTGAGAACATGCATTTAGGGGTTGCATTTAGAGGGACCTGACTGTATAAATTATCATAATATTAGTTTATAAGTACTCCTTTCCGAAAACATGTAAATGCACTACCTTCATAAATGTCCTTTTAAACATTTCCCAAATACAGAACCTCAATAAAAACACTACTTCCATAAATGTACGGTGCAGGAAATTTAAAAACCTCAATCTCCATTTTAAGATGATGCATAAACTAGTAGCTCATTGAGAATAAAT